TTAGAAGTAGTGTTTTTTTTTTTTGAATTCTCTTTTTTTTTTTTTGGGCGTCCCTGACAAAACAATAACAGCCCCAGACTTACTCCCTGCTACTCCGGCCGGGTGCAAATCCGGGAACTGTACACAGAATGAATATAACTGAGTCTCAGTATACCTCTACAAAAAGAAGGACGTAAATGTCAGCTCTGGCACCCCACTGGCACCTACAGCAAAGCTCACCAAACCCTAAAACCGTTTCCAGTGTGAACCGAACTTGTTCATCGGTTTGGCTCTATACCCCTTGCTGACCACTTTGTGTGTCCAGTCCGTGGTAATGGCCTGTTTAATATTGAATTTAACTTCTGCTCTGATCATTGGAGGGGTTAGATGTTCGTTTCTTCTAACTGCCGAGTTCCTAAGGTTCCACAGCGTCCAAAGGATCGCCCCTCTCAATGTTTCCTCCGCATATCCGAGTGGTCCAAAAGACGATTGTCTGCGAGACGCATTGCCTAAAAGAACAAAGTCATCATTCCATCTTGAAGCGTTGTTTGGAATCGGGGGGACACCTCCCCTCCACCATTCCCAAAATGCTCTGGACAACTCACAGTGAAGGAACATGTGTTGTAGGTCTTCAATTCTGGTTCCTGAACAGATGGCGCACAAAGGGGAAGCTTTAGTCGGTCTTCTAGCACACCAGGCGGCCGTTGGCAGCGCCTGATGCATAGTAAGCCACAGCAAACTAGCTTGTTTAACAACCGATAGATCCAACAGCAGTTTCCAAAAGCGCGGCAACACAGAAGCCAGTCGTTCCGCTGTGTCTGTCACCCAGCCAGAAGCCACCCAGCGTCTAGTCACCTTCCATCCAATATCCAAATCTGGCCGAGCCAGCTGATACCCCAGTTTCGTAGAGTATTCATGAAGACTCAGGTGATCCACAGGTTTAAGCGGATGTATCCATCCCCAATCTCTCGGGTCCGCTGGCAATTCGCAGGCGGGAACCGAAACTGCAAAAGGCCGTACACAGTTCGGGTACTGCAACACGCACACCGACACAAGTTGTGACAGCGGAGGAAAAGGTCTCTTGTCTTAGAAGTAGTGTTAGGATGGTAGTAAAAGGCAAAAAGAATTTGAGAGGAAAAAAAAATAAAAAAATTCTGCAGAACTTGCCACAAAGTGTTTGTTTGTTTTTTTGTTTTGCTTTTTTTTTTATCTTCCGTGGCCCTTGCCCAGGAGCTAGGACCTACCAGGCAGGATTTACGCCGCGGCTGTTTGGTTTTCAACCAGGTGCGCCCGTCGGTGACAATAGCCTACCGTGGATCATCCTTACGTATTCGACAGTGCAGGTGGAGGAGGCGGGCCGTCGGCCAATAGACGACTTAGAAAAACATTTCAACGTCAGTATAGTTTGCAAGTTCGCGTTGGTGCGAAGATGGTGCATTGGCAAATCCACGCACATGGTTTTCCTACTACCTTTTTCCCAGGAATACAATGTACGGTCATTATAGCTGTATTTGAGGCATTTTGCAGTCTAGATACAGCTATACTGCCGGTACGTTGTATTTGGGGGAAGAAGGTACTATTGATGCATCAGGCCACCGCCTACGGCAACGTGCACTCGAGTTCTTTTCATTTCGACAGTGGTGTGGGGAGGCGTCTTGCAGAGACGCAGGCGATCGTATTCTGCCATCTCGGACGGCCATGCAGCCCCCCCCCCCCACAAGAAAAAGAGGTCGCGGGCTGCTTCACAAGTAGAGTAGAGAGGCAAGCAACAAAGCGCTTGTACAAGGTCTCTAATTGTTGCATACTGTAACGGTGCAGACCAGAACAAGAACCGACCTCTCAATACAAAGTATAAGATAGCACAGCGGAAGACTTAGATACCAATGATCCGAACAATCAATATTGCAATGCAGCCCTGAACATACATCATCATCATCGTTACATGGTGTGAATGGGGTCTGGAGCTTCACACAGGAAAACTGCGCCAGCCCCCTACCATACACAGATGAAGGAGATGGGGGTTTAGACGAAGAAGAGGGGCAGATGGGAATGTCGTCAACACCAAGTGTTCAGCACAGGCCCAAATAGTCCCTCGGTGAAATATCTGAATCCCAAATGTCCAGTCTGGATCCAATGTCGTCAAGTCTCAAGTCACAACTCTCTCTCTGTAGTAGTCCACTGATACTGAGAAGTCAGGTGGTGAGAGGGGAAGAAGAGAAGGTGGACTTAGAAGA